CCCCGCGGGCGGCCCGGCCCGGGCCCCGCTCGCCCCGCAAGCCCCGGCCCGGCCCGGCCGCGCCGCTCCCCGCGGACACGGTGCTGGCGGACCAGGGCGGGCGGCGCTGGCGGCTGCGGCGGCTGCTGGAGCAGGGCGGCTGCGGGCTGGTGTACGAAGGTGCTGTGGGGCCCGGGGAGGGACGGGGGCGGTGAGGGGGGGCCTGTCCTCGGCTGTGGGTTCGGGGGGGGGCTGTCGGGACATCCCTAAACCCCCAGAACCGTAGAGCGGGTGGCACTGGGGTGACACTGAGTGTCTGCCGGGCTGGCAGTGACCCACGGGCCGGCAGGGGCCGGCATTCACGGAATATCCCGAGTGGGAAGGGACCCACAAGGATCATCCAGTCCAACCCCTGGCCCTGCACAGACACCCCAACAATCCCACCCTGTCCCTGACAGCGTTGTCCAAACGCTCCTTGAGCTCTGGCAGCCTTGGGGCTGTGCCCACTGCCCTGGGGAGCCTGGTCAGTGCCCAACCAGCCTCTGGGGGAAGAACCTTTTCCTGAGATCCAGCCTAACCCTCCCCTGATACAGCTTCATGCCATTCTCTCGCTGGGGATCCACCGTCAGTGATTCTGCCACTGATAACAAGATTGAGCCGAGGCCTGGCTGCTCTGTTATGAGGAAATGCCTGTCATTAGGGGCCATGCTTCCTCTTTCTGTTTTTTTAGGTCCAAAACCTAATTGCCAGCAGCACTGTGCAGGAGTTCTGTGTTGTAGGTGGTGTCAGTATCCGCTAAATGTCAGTTCTGTATTTTGTAGCCTATTTTGGGGGCTAAAAGAAAGCAGTTATATCATGTGGACTGCTACTCAGCCATTTAGTGACTGCTGATCCTTTCTCTCCAGTCTAGTTGTAAACTTCTGAAGGGGATTTTTTGATCTTATCCTCTGTTGTTAACTTGGAAACTGTACAGGGAGAGTTTTCTCCATGACCAAGTTTTGCCTGATATTTGGCTTTACTTTCTTTTTCGTTACTTAAGCTGTTGCATAACAAAGTCTGAGCCTCCATCTATGTTTTTAAAAAGATGTGATAAAAGTGAAAATCGATAGTGGAGGGTGCTTTTATAGATACAAGTTTTGGGTGACCTGTGTATAGCACTTGGTCTAAGAACAGAAGAGGAACTGCCCCGAGGCCAAGTCATGGGTGCAAATCCTTTTGGAGAAAAGAGGCCACATACAACTCTAACATCCATACAGAGCAGAGGGACTTTGGCATCTCTTACCACAGAGTGAGCTGGAGGGAATGCCCAGCAAATGAATTTGGTGGTGCCTTTGAGATTCCACTAATGATCTGTTCTCAAAGCCCCCCACTACTGTAGCCATGCCCAGATGCTTCTGTGACTTAAGCAGAACTGCACTCGCAGCATGTCAGGGTGCTGAGCTCCTGGAGCAAGGTAAGAATGATTTTGTAGTGATCTGGGAAGGCACTGTCACAGAGGGTGTTTTGCAAAGCCCAAGTGAAAGAAGCAGAGGATGAGT